GCGGCCGCCAGCCGAAGCAGCGGCGGCCTGGATGTCTCCGGGGGAGGTTGAAGCCGGGACGGGCAAAGAGGCCGCCGAGTTTGGGAAATTGAGCTCTGCGTCTCGGCCCTTGATGGCTAAAGCGGCCACGTCATAGGCTATGGCCGCCATTTCAGGGGTCGAGAAGGTTCCAAGCCAAATCCGGTTAGGTTTTTTAGGCTCACGAATTTCCGACACCCACTTGCTACTGTTCCTCCGCCTCCTCACTCCACGGTACACCGGATGTCGTCCAGTGGCCCACCTCGAAGATCCACTTGCTTCCCCGTCGTTGAGATTGTTGTTTCTGTGCATGGTTTAGGACGTTTGATGGCTATGGAGATTAGGGTTTTGGGGAGGGGTTGGTGGATTGGAGGAAGGAGATGCAGAGAATCCATTTATGGAGAGCTTCAAGCTAAGAACACTTAGTGTGTCTGTGTCGTGTTGCAGAGATTGAAGAGATGAAGTGCAAACCAGTTATGGATGAACGAATCGTCGCTAGGGATATTTGATCATTTGAAGAATGTGAAAGCTGTAAAGACAGCTTTTTACTTGCAAGTATGTGTTGGATACATCGTGTTATATATTTATATAAACCTTACCTTAGTGGTCTTCTTCACCACTACAGGTTCATGAATATATCTTTCTCATGATCTTGACATCACTTTGAACTGTTGCTTTGGAGAATATATCTTAGGATTAAAAAAGTCAATACCAACTTAGAAACTACGCTTAAAGGCCTTAAACACACATTCTATGTAATATTCCATGTCATATCATCGTCCGACTAGGATTATATATTTCTGTTTTCTAATATATATATATATATATCATATATTTTTCTAAGAGAGATGCATATATATTGGGTGAAATTATAGAATGAATATAAGTGACTTGTAAAGATCGATCCTACGGGATTCCATCTCTAGATATGTCAATATAGTAGCAAATTGTAACTAAGGGGGTGCATCGTGCATGGTTTGGTATTATCGTGTGTGTATATATATACACATATATAATTGTTTATTTGTTTAATTATGTTTAGCCATGCAGTATAACAGTGTAAATAATTTACATATTAGGGAGGGAAATGAGTAAGATGTTGACTTGATGGGGGGACAAAGAACATGTAATAAGGGATATATATATATATATATATATAATCACACGCCCTAAGTGGATGTTACAACTCAGTGTGATGCGTTTGGGAGTCAATTTGCTGAGGGTTTTGTCGCTCCACTACAATTAAACTTATCCCTTTTTATTATTACATTAATTAAAACTTGTCAAGTCTGTTATGGTAGCAAATCCATATCACATTCTGCAACGCCGTTGGATATTTTGTTGGTCTTGTTATAATTACAATAATAACTTTGTGATTTCCCAAATTAAATTTTGTTTCCTATGTACACGTTTTTAAATTCTAAAACACACACGGATATAGATAGAATTAGGAATAAGGCTATTAGAGAGAAAATAAGAGATAGAAATAGAAGAGAAGTTAACAGAGACGTTTAAGATGGTTTGAACATGAAAAACGTAGGTTGATTGATGCGCCGATTAGAAAAGTGAGGAGTATAGGAATGGAGTGAAGAGAAATAGAAGGGGTAGATCTAAACTTTCTTGGAAGGTATAATTAGGAATGATTTGGAATTGTTGCAAATTCCGAAAAGAGCTAATGTAAAATCGAAATGAATGAAAACGGAGAATCTATGCGGCTGATCCCAAATAAACTTGAGATTAAGTTGATGTGTTGATGTTGATGTTATTAAATTCTGTGTTCTTGTTTATATTTGATTTTATGTGTACCCTTCTAATTTAAAAGAATATCAGTATTATCCTTAATCTAAAAATTATAGTATTTATTTATTTATTTTATTCGTGATATCCCAATTCTCATCAGAAGAATTTTAATATTTCGTACATTTGTTTTACAATTTGTTTTAGTACGGGATATCAAACTCCGTATATATAATTATTTTTGCTTGATCTTAATCTAAAATGTTCTATTTTTCTTTCTTTCAATCTAATATATCGATTTATTTCCTCAGCTACTCTAATTAAATTATTAATTTTCTATCATTTTATTTATTCCCTTTTTTTTTGTCATATGTACGCATACCATTAACATATAAATTTGCTTTAAATGATGATTAATAAGAAATATGTTTTTCTGTCCGGGTTAAGGTTGGTATTGTATCGCTTTATTTTACGGATAAAGTAGCTTCTGAATTACGCTTTAAACCTTTGGTTTGTGATCTAATTATACTATTATCATTATCCTCAAAGTAAACATTATTAAATAACTATTTAAATCGGATAGCGCATGTGTACCTAAACCAAATTTAACCAAAATTAAACTCAAGTCAAATCTGAACTGAATATAAAAATAACCAAAAAGAATAATTTTTTGGAAAATAAATATTTTTCAAACAGAAATGAATCAAATCAAATATAATATAAAAACCGAATGCATACAATTTTTTTTTTAAAAAACCGAAATCATGGGAAAGAAATCCCAAATATCGAAGTATGCTATTCAGGTAGATTCCGGTTAGTTTGAAACAGTACCAAATAAAAACCAAGTGGTTTGGTTAGTTAAGTTTCTATTATAGATTTCTTTCTCTCTTAATCTCTCAATCATGCACATTTTTATCTATTACGGTACGGGTTAAGGGTTAATTCGGTTATAAATCGATCCGGTCGAATCTACCACGGGTTAATTGTGTCAGATTTTAACGAATAACACAAAATTGATTGATAATTTTTTTTCGTTTTTACCGAAGATAAATCTTATTTTAATAGATATAAAAATGTTTTGATAAATTAGTTATCAAAAGGTTTAAATTTACACCATGGTGGATTTCACTTATAGATCCCAAAATAATTTGAATATTTATTAGATGTTTAGTTCTAACAAAATGATTCTCATTTGTAAATTGGGTAATTTAAGTATCCATTAGTTGATTATTTTCAATATTTCATGTATCAATAGGGTTTTTTTATATTAAATCAAGTCATTATCAATCAATTTTGGTTATCTTCGGTAAAAACTCGTTCAATCAATTTTGGTTCTTTTTCATGTATGAACACAGTGGCACTGGTATTGAAAATCTAAAATTTTCTTAATAAAAATTGAACCGAACCGAATCAAAATCAAAATCAAATTGAATATAAAATAATAACTGATTGATATATAATTTTTAAAACTAAAAAAACCGAACCGAATCTGAACCGAATAAACGATCTACACTAGCTACAAGTGGTGAACAATAGTTGTGCTTGAGGGCCTGAAATTAAACGTTATGAATCAAGAATTTGGCCCAGATTAAGTATATGATTAGCCTTAAATTATGTCCTCCTCCCATTTGTGCCCAACAACGCCTTTATGGTTTCGGGTTTTCCGTGTATGAAAACGACAAATGTTCGGATTATTTGTATTTTGCTAAGTTTGCGATTCAATTTAAATTTAACAACAAATATGAATAGAACTATAATCCAAAGCTGGACCTAACCATCTATGTTTTGCTTTTCAATTACATTTTGGTTTTTGTTAATTGTTATTTCAGATTCAATTATACAAAAACTATACCATTGGGATTTGAATTCGATTTGGTTTAATATTTTAAATTGATTTTCCATTGGATTCTGTTCTTAATTCTGTTTGCGATTCATTTTTTTATTTAGAAACTATTTTCATTTGATTCTAGATTAGTTTAATTTTATTTTATAATTATATCCCATGGATCCGTTAACAATAGATACACAGTATTATTCGACCTGACTTTATATATTTAAAGACAAAATACCCAGAACAGCTAAAATTCGACAAGTGGCATATACCTAAAGCTGAAAGAACTTCAGATCAAAATAATTTGGCAAAATGTCATTTGCTGAAGCAAAAATATTCAGTAGGAACAAATCCTCTCAAAAAGCCTTATTGGGACTCAAAGATCCCCCAAAAGTCGCAACAGAAACCCAAAAGGGAAGAAGAACAAACCCTAGAAATACATATCCAGGATAATATTAATATCACAACACAACCATGATGATGATGATGATGAACATCCACATCATCCTCAATACTTGTAGTCCTTAACGTGGAGGCTCTCGTCAGCACCTTCACCGCGCTTCGCATCACCCTTGTAAGTTCCGAGCGTAGCCTCAGAGTTGGCCTTACACCTCACTAATAATGCTTCCTGCGCCTTAGCCACGTTCTCGTCTTTCCCGGCCCACGCCTTGAGTGTGCTCTGCTGAAGGGCACGTCCAAACGAGAATGACAGTGACCACGGCTTCTTACCCTTCAGCTGGTTCATGGCGTTGAGGTTCAGGGTTGCTTCTTCCTCGCTCTGCCCACCGGATAAGAACACGATGGCCGGGACAGCAGCAGGGACAGTCCTTTGTAGGGCACGGACCGTGTGCTCAGCTATGACCTCGGGTGCCACCTTGGCAGATTCAGATCCGGGTGTTACCATGTTGGGTTTCAAGAGGGTTCCTTCGAGCAAAACATGGTGGTCGCTCAGGGCCTTGTAGCATGCGGCCAGGACACGTTCTGTCACAGCAGCGCATTTGTTGATGTCATGAGGGCCATCAACGAGAATCTCAGGCTCAACAATGGGGACAAGACCGTTTTCCTGGCAGATGACTGCATATCTAGCCAATCCATATGCGTTCTCGTGGATGGCTAACTCGGATGGCTCATTCTGGCCAATCTTGAGAACAGAACGCCACTTGGCGAAGCGGGCACCAGCCTCATAGTACTTTTTGCATCGGTCACCAAGGCCATCGAGACCCTGGGTGGTGGTCTCGCCGTTGGTTCCAGGGAGCTCGACAGTGCCCTTGTCGACCTTGATACCTGGGAGGACTCCACCTTCCTTCAAAATGTCAACGAAAGGCTTGCCTGCACCATTGTTCCAAGATCCGAGTAAGCAATCAGAAAAAAGATACAATCGATACACAAAAAACGCATTCGTTGAATGTGTATGCATACCATTGGAAGCCTTCTGGTAGAGGGTTTCCTCGAAGAGGATAACACCGCTGAGGCATGGAAGAGCACCAGGAGCGGTGAAGAGGAGTTCACGGAGAGCACGCCTGTTGGATTCGACATTCTCAACGTTGATGCTAGCAAGACGCTTGCCAATGGTACCAGTTGACTCATCAGCGGCAAGGATACCCTTTCCGGGGGTACCGATGTAGGCAGCGTTAGCAATCAGCTCATCTGCGCGGTTTCAAAACAAAAGAACACAACAAACTAAATAAGAACTCCCACAAAGACCGATGAACACCCATATATATACACATATACACAAGTTTCAAGCACAGTTAACTTCAGTTCGAGAAATAGGATCACAAATCAATTCACGAGTACCACCAGATAATCAGATTCAAATTTAAAAATTCAGGTCAATCGGATGACTGCCTGTAAGGGTGCTTGATAACGAAGGATTAAACCCGTGAACCCTCAACCAAATTCGAAACTATCAAACACATTTCCGATGAACCGAGTCGGGCACAAACTCGTAGGTTCATCTTAGCATCAAACTGAAACAGATCTAAGCAACTTCGAGACAATCACTACATCGAGCGAGGAAAGTAAAAGAGATTCTCCAGGAATCAGTGATTAAATCTCTCAAAATGCAGATCCAAACCGAGCTAAGCCAGATCCGATCCAGAATACACAGACACGACGACAACGAGCAGATCTAACAACCATGTAGCCAAGAGAAATGGAGAGTCCAGCAAAAAAATACAAAAGCAGAGAGAGACAGAGAGATCTTACCAGCGTATTTGCTCGTGAAGGCAGACATGGTTGAGGGATCGAAAACGAAGAGAGAGAGACAGCAGAGCGAAAGGAGAGAGAAAGTAGGTGAAAAGGCTGAGGAAACCCTGGTGGAAGAAAGAAGGTATTTATAGATGCCGATGCAGCAGCGTAGTAGGTTGATGGTTTGGGAAAAGTGAAAGGCATAAATCAACGGCGAGATCTGTGGCCTGCTCCCCAAGAAACGAATTCTCAGCCGTTGGATCTCACATGGTTTCGGTGGTGGTTTTCGGCTTATTCAATTACCATTATGTCCATGGTCAGTGGTCACGTGGTTGTCCGGCGGGGTATCTGAATCTGAGGGGTAATTTGGTAACTCTGGTTAGAGGAGGCGTGACTCAGGCCGCATTACCTGTTGACGACGCCCGCTCAGAGCCGAAGCCGTTTCGAGGGTAAAAATGTCCAATCGAGAAATACCAAGCTTTATTATATACCAAGAAACATTATTAGTATGGAAAAAAAATATGCCGTTGACAAACCAACCAGATATTTATGGGAAATATGTAATATTTTCTATTCATTATGATGTATGTTAATTCTAGACTTGGATTCTTGTGACATACAGAGTATTCGTTTCTGTAATTTTGATTTTTCTTTGAGTTGTTTTAAATAGGGATAATAACATATAAATACTAAACTTTTATGAAAATTCCAGATAAATTAAACTATAAAATTTCCATATAAATACTTAAATTTTTAAAAATTCTATATAAATACCTAGACTTTTGAAAGAAAAAAATTCAAATAAATATAAATTTCAGATTTTTTGAAATAAAATATGTGATATCATTAATGGATTTTAGGTTTATTTGGGATTTTTTCAAAAGTCTAGATATTTATGTAGGATTCTAAAATTCAATTTAATCCATCTAAGAATTTCTATTATGAATTTGTATTTTGTTTATGAAAATACCTTAATATCGAGAATATGATATATTCTTTGCTGATATATACAGATAAGGATGCAAAACGGGTTGATTCGGTCCCATTCGACACAAATAGCAATAGATCCAAGTCAGCCCGTTTTAGGCCCAACTCAATTGCCACAGATAGAAAAACTCTAACTTGGCCTAGAAAAGCTCTGGCTTGGTTCGTGATGATATGATTTAGGGAAACAAAAAAAAAATGATAACCATCTCTCGATATACACACACAAAAAATAAAACCACCACATAGACACTGTGGATCAAAAAGGATAATTCATTCCAAGTGACAAATGCTATGGAACAGAGGAAAGTGAAACATGAAACAGCCAAATACCACAAGAAACATAGAGCAAACAGAACCAAGATTCAAGCAAACATTAGGCTGGCAAAACAAAACAGCCTCCTTTCATGGGAAACATCATCAGTTCTAAAGGCGGAAAATTTTCAAAGGGAGTTGACTTCCTCACACTCATTACGGCAGAAGCTGGTTCACGAGATGGTTCAGTTCAGACATGCTAGGAAATGAGACTGAGTTTTGGAAAAAAAATACCCTTTTGTGTATTTCTATCAGATTGAAAATTACAGGGAACACAGCACATCTTTCCAAACCGAGGCTCGGGACATTCTTTTTTTTACAAAATTAGCATCATGGGGATCACGAGGATTCAAAGGAACGGCAAACCTGTATCTTCTGCAGTCACACCACCAATGGCAAATGCCCTTTGGTGTAGATTCTTCACCTCCGAATGGGCTAGACATCGTTTTCCTACCAGAACAAAGTGAGGGGCCATTATAACCGGAGAAGTGAGACAAACCCAGCAAGAAAAAAAAATGAAGCAATAAGGGTGGATTCATAAAATGAGATGCACTGGTGGGCCCAAATCAACCATTTTTCAGTGTCAGATGCAGATCGGTTTCATAAAGAAATATCCAACAATTTACCTCTTTTATGGCACTCACAATGGCCAATTCCTGCATTGAATTATCGGTCAAGCAATTGGCATGCACTATGAGACCCTTGGCCGCAATATTGGCTGAAGGAATGGTCAGGTGAACCGCCGCCTTGAACATCCATTGATCCATTTCTTGACTAAAATAGTCCTCAAACATCTCTCCGCACAAAATACATGCACATTGATTCTCATCAGCAGGGACTGCTGGACCATCCTCCTCCATTGCCTCAGGCTCTCTCTGAACTTTTGCAAGATCAGGTTCCAGCTTCCCAGGTTTTCCTGCCACCCAATCATCAGCCTTTGGATACCAAACTCGTGATTTTTTGTTCATGTTCTTCTCATCATGCACCTTTGCGTGCCTTTCAAGCTGTTCCTTGAGTTTCAGGCGAATGCCACATGAGGTGCAGTGATGCAGAAGGCCATCAAAGAGACTATTGATCACTGAGGGGTGAAATTCCCGGATTTTGTCTGGCCTAAACTGCAGTCCTACGAGGTCTTCCGAATCCAATCTTGTTGTTTCAGATGGTGAAGCAGGCCCTTTCGCTTTAGGTCCTGCGGATGGACCCTTGTTCATCGAAGCCTCTGGCTTAATATCTGATGGAACAGCAGTTGCAGATATAGAGCTATTGGTAGAATGATCTGGGCTATGGTCCCGTGATTCAGAAGGAACCTGGCACCGAGAGAGGGATTGCAACTCTGTCTTCGAGGCTGATATCAAACCCTTTGAAGCTAAGGAGCTCAAGAGGCTCGATATAGGATTTGAGGCCTTTATATTCTCATCCGAAGTCTGAGTTGCTGTAGCAATAGCAGGAGACGATGAACATGAACCAGGCGATGGCAAGGGCTTCCCAACTTTTAAACGAGCCGATGGATCCTCGTTGGCCACTGAGTTTGGCAATGATGGACCAACCGTCATAGGCCTAGAGACTGTGGAGAGGTATTGCAATTTCAGCTTCTCCTCCTCCTTTGATGCACCACTAGTAGAGTTATTAGAAAGAATTCCGCTCTTCATGACCGCAGCCAGTAGATTGCTCATGTTCAACTGGCTTGAAGCTTCTGAAGTAACATGATGTGGTGAAACACCTGGAGCATCAGGTAGTTCAGGCCTATCTTGATTCCTAAACTGACTACCTGAAGATAGGGATCGCACAGGATCATCCCTGGTGATACTTTGATGCTTCACTGGAAACCTCAAAGCCCTAGGATCACCACGTTGAGGAAGGGAAGTAGTTCTCCTAAAATCTTGCTTGGCCAAAGTCTGTACTGAATCTGAATCGTGTAATAGTGACTGTCTATCTGATCCAGATCCTGAGTGTGGCAAAATTCCGGAACCTGAGGCCCTAACAGGAGCTGGAACAGGTCGAGGCTGAATCCCTTTTCTCGTAACAGTAGAGGTCAGCCCAACGATGGAAGAATAATCTTCAGAATTATGCTGGATAAGACTATCTTGCAACGACCTTGGAGAAGGTACCCCGCACCCATATGCATTTCGATCTTTTTGCTCACTTGAAAATGATCCGGTTGAATTATCCAGCTCAAACCTTGACCCTGCGTCTGGAAGTTCATTTGATCTCAAAAGGGGATTTTCAGACTCCTACATGTGAGGAAAATTCATGAAGTTAGCTAAATAAATAACAAATACTTAACAATATACAGGACAAGTAAAAAACTATAGCTCACTGAGTCATCTGGTGCCCAAGGTTCATTCCTCGGGTTGATATTGGTTACATCAGTTTCAGAAAATCTCGATTGCACGTCCCACATAAATTCCTCTTCTTCGGAGTTTTTCCAACTATTAGACACGCTGATATTACTTCTACCAGGACCACTTGGACCAGAATTTGACAATCTGGAAATTCTGCCTTTGGTGTTTAACCCATTCCTCTGGCCAGAAATCATCTCAGGAACACTGCCCATAGTTCCATACCATTGCCTATCATGCCCTTCAGCTGTAGTCCTTGAACCGATTTTCTTGTTTCCCAATCTAGAGTGCTGTGGTAATTCAGAAGCATAATCATATTCACCAGGAATTGATGTGATATCTTTCTCATAAAGAGGTTCACTAAGTGATTCCCTTGGAGGTCTTCGAATGTTCTGAATTAAAACACAATGCACGTATTAAACTGGCAAACAACAGGTAGCTAGCTGGCTGTAACAATATATATAAAAAGACAATGTTCAACTTACATTTGATTTAGCAGATGGATCAACCCATGAACCCCCAGCTGCTAAGCTCAAAATTCTCTCCAGTCTATCTGAATCCCCAGCAGAGTTGGATATGATACCAGGAACATCAGTAACCATTCGTTTTGCCTGCTGAAAAATAAAACCAAAAGGAACGAAATACTCAGCAGCCTAAAATCAGATAAGAAGTCTTCACGAAGCTAGTATCCATAGAAATCTTTAAGACTCTATAAAATATTTAACACTGTCAATCCCAGATCAACCAAACAGCTCAAGCTAATTCCCAATATAGATACTTCAATAATCAGAACTCAGAGCAGATAAATCCCCAGCATTCCTAAGACTCTGGTTTGTCTTCAAACAGTACTTTCTGTAGCCACAAGTCTATTTCACTTACCCTGCCCGATTGTTGTAGACACTGTTGTTCTAGATACTTGGGATTCACATGAATGCTATGAGTTGGGCGCTGAGATGATGGGTCAGCTCTGGTTGTGGCTACAACAGACGGCGAGCTATCACTTCTAGGATTAAAGCCAAGTTCTTTCTCAATAATCTGAAGTGTCTGTGGATGAAAGACTCCTTTCCAGGTTCCAAAAAGATGCCGCATACTAGAATGCATAGGATGATCAACTTGTCTATATGCCTTGATGAATGTCTGCAAACGAAGATACAAGAGGGTCATCAGAGATATAGTTTCTCTCTCGCTCTCTATCTCTCTCACACACGCAGCAACCAAACCTCTGGTAGCCTTGCAACAAAGTACTTAATGTAATCCCTTCCAATATTCTTCACAATGCTGTCTAACAGGTACAATGACGGTAGTTTCTGATCATCTGGTACCTGCAAGACATTCTCACAATCAGATTCACCAAAAGAAAAAAGCCGATTTCTACTCATACATAGCGACACCATGGTAAGTGGGATCAACAGCTTATGTTAAGATAGAAAGTTCAAAGCACTTCACCCGAATACTGAAGCTACTACCAGCATATACCCCAACAACTACTTAACTCCATAATAGAAAGGGAAAGCCACAAAGGTGAGGCTGGCTAACACGATATCTACAAGGCAAAGGTGCGCATATCACTTTATCAAATAAATAAGAGATTAGATAAAAGAAAAATGGAAAGAGCAGTCCATTATTTCCAGACAATTGGACCAAACAAGCTCTATCTATTTGCAGTTTCTTTGCTATCCAAACAAGAAACAAATTCAAGTTCACCTTCTATGAGAATAATTATATGTACATTTGTTAGTAGGCCAAGGCCAATGGCAACTAACAAGCAGACACTTTCGTAAGAATTGAGGTGCAAAAGTAGATGTAGGAAAAGAAAAAAATATCTAAGATGAAGATAATAGATTCAAAAGTGACCCAAATCACCATAGAGAGGCAACTGAAGTGTGATACAAACTGATAAAACATATATACAGAGCTCATCAACAGCTCAAGACTTAAGCTGCCTTTCTTTCACACAGTATCTTGAGATGGAAATTGTGGTTATCATCACAAACAAGCATTCGCTAAAAGAAGAGAGGCCTAAATTGATTTCAGACATGATGGGTATACTCCCCAAAACACACCTTCTGCATAAAAGTAACATTTTGATACATAGGAAAGAAAAAAATTCACGAGACCTCTTGCCAGTGGGCAAAGCATCAGATACATTGACGTAATTCCATCGCTTCCGGAGATTGCACACATTCTTAAGAGCAAACTCGGGACAAAGAAAAATTTGGAAATGGCATATGAGAAGCTCAACTCAGCATTCTTGAAATATAAACATGTGCCAGATCATGATTGCATGAGCACTGGCTAACTCGGGGTAATGTGTTACATAGAGTCAGGGATATGTAACTGGTCGAGTTTTAGAATTTAGATTTAATAATAATATATGCATAAGATGGCAAAGACTATATCCTGCTTCTGAAAGATCATCTGAGTTTTGGTAAAAGCAGATAAACCATACAAATCCCACAAAAAGAACACTAGGGTTTACTTCAAAACTAAAAAAATTATCATTCAACCTCGCAATACAGACACAATTTCAACCACCATTTCACTGTATCACCCTTTTCTTTACAATTAACCAAACAAGAATCTCCAGGAAAAGAACATGCAACATGTAATACTACTATAACAGTGGTGCATAAAAACTGGGTGTTCACCTCGAGGATGTTGTTGCAAATCGTGGCTACGATGGCCTTCGCAGCATGAAGATTCTCTCCCGCGATTATCGTCAGGTTCGTTATTATGGGCTTCGAATTGACAGTAAGCTCCGCCAGTGCCGACTTGTACTGGCTCAACAGCTCGTGGTGCGTGTTCACAGGCTGCGGCTGGTCGACAGTT